CTATTATCCCACCTTCAAGACGGAAAATCATAAGTTTAACTGTTGAGGTGAAATATAAGAAAACATCGTTACAATAATAAATTCTATAATGGTGCAATATCGTTTGAAAAGATATATATGGCAAATTGCCGAACAAAATATAATTAAAAATCAGCATGATTCATTTCACTTTCCGTAATTTGTTTAAAAATGAATATTTACCGGAACATAGTGGAAAAGTATATACTCAACAAACGATAAATTTTGATAATTCCGCAATATAATTAAAAAAAAAAGATTTGGTCGTATAAATAAAAAGGTCTACATATATGATTGATATTAAATTAAAAAATGTATATTATTCACTTGTCTTTTCAATCTGATAATAATTTGATATAAACTCGTTTAGAAATGAATAGTTACTGGAATATCATTGAAATAACAGGGTATCCTTATTTAATGGCCCGGTTGAATTTTTTTTCAACGTATAATGTTATCAAAAAAATATGTATTTAATATTTTTAGTGAAGTTTTACAAATTTCCCTTTTTTTGAAAATATTTGTTATCACCACAGAACCAGTACAACTTTGAAATTTTAAATGGACACGTTTACTTATTTTTAATTACTGTTTTTAAAGGATTTTTACTCTGAAAACGGTGGTGCAATAAGAATTTAAATTTGTCAAACAATAACAAAGTTATAGTGTGAAAAGATTGTGAAAAGAAATATCTTAATTTCGTTTTTATTATTAAGTATCTTCATTTGATGTTTTGGCGCTAGTCGGTTTTATGAATTTCTTGGAATGATGTTGATGGGTCTACTAGCAGTGGGTACGCACGTTTTTAGGTAATAAACGAGTACATTTTTTAGAAGGGTACTCTACATGTTTCGAACAACATGAACAACAAACATGAATACACAGAGATGTTCGAAACATGTAGAGTACCTTTTTTTTTAACAATGCAACCGTTGATTATGTCAAAAGTGCGTACCCAGTACTAGTAGACTCATCAATATCATCCCAAGAAATTCATAAGCATTTTCCGTAATATAATTCTTAATTTTTGCCTTTAACTGTCAATCATTGTTTTGATATTAACTGGTCTTATTGGATTTAGACAACATGAAAATCATCACGAACTTTAAATATTCTTCAATAAGTTTTTATCAGCCAGTCAAAATGAGCCGAAGGGTGCGTTTTTCGTGAAGATCGGGTTGATATGCATGATAATTTTATTGAAAATGGCGAAATTGCTCGTCGTGCAATCGAGTTTTTCCAGAAATTTCCCAATCGCTCCCGGGTGAACCACACATCTCTTTATCGCATTGCACACGATGTGAGATGTGGATCTGTATGATGCCCATCAAGAAACCGGCCACATCATTTTGATGAAGAATAAAATGTCTTATTGTCTCCCTTTGGAAACTAGAAGGAATTTGGGTTTTTCAAAAAAAAAGATTAGTTATGTCCTCAGAACATACAATTTTAAATCATATCAATCTCGTTTTGTCCAAGGGCTTCGGACACTGATTTTGATAATTTTAATGTTCCTTTCGAATATGTCGATTTGGGATCCAAAAGAAAATAGTCTCCCATACATCCTGTGGATTGATGAACCAAAGTTCACCACAATGGTATTTCAACCAGTGGAATTTTTGAAACTGGGTGTAAGAAAACCCCGAACGATCCATGTAATCACCAAGTAATTCACATTCTGTGCCATTACCTTGTTATTATTTGTCTATTTTATAATCCGACTGCTACATCGTTTTCTGTGTAAAAAATCCTTTATAACAAAGTAAGTAAAAAGTATACGTTCTCAAATTTCAAAGGTCTACTAGCTCTGAAGTACACTTACAACAAATATTCAACAATAAGGGTAAAAATTTAAAATTATTAATTAATAATTATTTGACTAAAAAATATTATTTTTTTCGGTTTTTCGATAAGGTTATCTGTTCTAGAGAAATTCAGGTGACAATTTAAAAAGAACGACTTGTTATATTCAGAAACGATACAATGTACAATATTGTGCCATATCATTTTAAAAAATATATTAAAAATGGCCGAATAAAATGAAAATAAAAAATCGATATTTGCTTAGTGGTCATAATTGACCATATTAATTATTCTTTTTATCTATGGTTTTTGGTTGAGATGAAAAGAATACTTGATTGGAAAAAATCTATGTTTCACTTCACCTTCCAAAATGTTAATAATTTCTATGATTATTCAGAAATCGTGAGATGCGGTCTGGTGTGATGTAGGTTTCAGAAAAACATTTCCTTTATCGTGCCAACGTTTCGATCTTTATTGAGATCATCTTCAGGGCTCAAAGAATAGCACAATTACGCAGAAAACAAACACTTTGAGCCCTGAAGATGATCTCAATAAAGATCGAAACGTTGGCACGATAAAGAAAATGTTTTTCTGAAACCTACATCACACCAGACAGCATCTCACAATTTCTGAATAATCATCGACAAATGGCCACTAATCACCACACGTTATTCAGATAAATGTAACATACACTCAACAAACCATCCAATATACAGGTTATTTTCTAAAAGTAAAAATGTCCCCTACCTGTGCAAACCGGTACTGCAATCATTTTTTTTTTCAAATTTTAGTCTATTTTCAACAAATACAGCCGATATACTCGAAAATAAGTAGTAACTACCACACAGTAAATGTCGGCAGTTTCACGCAAGGCTTTTGGGAGAAAAAATTAATTGGTAACTGAAGCCAAGCTATGAAGTTTTGTGGTATTTGGGTATTTATCTTACTTTCTGGGGCAAAAACCATTCTTTGACGTATCTACTAGACTTAGTATCTACTGGACCTCAACCCCCTGAAATGTAACATTAAAACGCTTTTCATACGGTCATCCTCACTATAACACAAAAATATATATACAGATTATGTAAACCGTGGAACACTAAGCAAATTCATTTCAAAGCACGTAGATTCAAGCTTTATCATTATGGTTTTTCTCTATGGATTGCTGATTTTAGTGATGCACATCATGAATTTAAATGGTCTATTTTGTTAAATAACAAGTATTGTGTTTAAACACAATCTCCTTGAACTCCACGAAGAAATTTCTATGTTCAAAGTAAGAAAGGTCAATTTATGCAAATTTAGGCTGCCTCACGCGGTATGATCGTCACGTCGCGGTTTTATTAACGGCGAAATTGCCATCTCGCCGGCTCTGGAAGCCGGATTGACCTCAACGCCAGGGATAAAACGGATAAATTATGTCAGACCGAGTAAGTTATGATTGTCCGCAAACCAAGAACGTTTCAGTCTTTAAATTTGACTGTTTGAACGTTTTTAGCACGTGGGCGGTCTTGGTTGTCTGTCATATTAAATAAGCCTAGATTGGTTCTGTTCAAAAACTATGATTTTGTCAATGTAAACTAATTTTTTATGTATCTTTGCTTACAATTCAACGAAAAGTGCGGACGACATTTCTACTGGAAAGAGTTCTCTTGGCACTAGCTTTTTCATCTCAGCAAACGCCTTAGATAAAATTTATAATAAATTTAAATAATTAACACGGACAATTAGGACTACTTATACATATATGGATTAATATTGAAAGGTGCTTAAAAACAATACAGACTATTGCGTTGAAGTTTAGTTAAGACAAAATATATACATGGAATACTTCCTCCATAATAAATAATAAATTAGTTAACAATTTGTTGTAGTCGTGAGGAACTGTCAAGAAAGTGATAGTTTAGAAAAAACCCTTTTAATTTTTTGTCCGATGTTTCGACCTTTATTCGAGTCATCTTCAGGGTCTCGGTAAATTACAAAACATATGTTGATTGGAAAAAATACAATTTAAGATGTAAATATTATTTTTGAACCAAGTATTTCATACTGACATAAAGTGTGGTGCTATTCTTGTGGTGCCATATTGATTTTGTAAGAAAATATATTAGCACCACACTTTATGTCAGTATGAAATACTTGGTTTAAAATGTATATTTACATCGTCAATTGTATTTTTTCCAGTCAACATAAGTTTTGTCATATGCCCAGGCCCTGAAGACGACCCGAATAAAGGTGGAAACGTCGGCAAAAAATGAGAAAGGTGTTTTTCTATATCACCTCTTTCTTGACTGCTCCTCACGGCTTCAACAAATTATGAAACAACCGATCACTAAGAAACACACAAATTATTTAACATTTTTTATTTTAGCACGGAACTCCATCGGAAACTAAAGAAAAATAATTGGCTATAAATACATTTTTTTAGCTTAGATATATTTTTCTACCCGTTTTAACGCTTAAAACTTTATTTCTCCTTCATTTGACTTCCTCTCGCATGGCTTTCTAAAATCATGGTCACTGAAATTATACATTACATATTTCGCGGTTCGCACTGTGGTTGTTTCATTGTGTATATTTTTAGTTTAGACACCGTTCTCTTATCAATTTCTGTTTGATTTCGATATTTTGTGTACAAGCTTAATTAAACCAGAATTCAATACTTTAACCGTAAAATTACTTTAGCTTTCTCGTATATCTTTTTTCAAATTTCTATGTGTCGAAAACACAAAATGTACAAAAGGTAAGATGACGGTTAAATATTAACTAAAGAGTCCATTTTTATTATTGCATCAAAATCATTGCATAAAACGGCTTGTGCTAAGCAACAGGCCGTAACATTCCCCCTAAAAAAGCATACTTTTAGGTTGGCAAATTGCAAAATAATTTAGATTAAATTGTAATGTTTAAAAATAAACTAAATTATTTTCTGCTTTGTATGTTTCTCAAGTTTGATCCAAAACCGGGTTGACCCAACAGGTGGTTTAAACCCCCCTCCTAACTAAAAGATTAAAATTTTCCGATAATAATTATACAAGATAAATACAATTATTACAATATATCAAATATAATGATAAAAAATATTTTAAAAACCGAAGATTATAGTGAATAACTTTACAGTTTCGCCTAGCTTTGTTATAATTAAAAAAATAGAGGTACGGAATAAAAAGTCTACTAACTCAGAATCCATTTCGGTGTTTTGAGATTTCGCGTTCCTCTGCCAAAACTGACCCCGACCAATCACCGCACAGTCGTGGAGTCGGGTATGATAAGTCTGTGCCGAACACTGAAACTGAAAGGAGGAGGGCATAGTTAATACATAGCAGCTATCCTCGAGAGGTCTGGAGGGGCAAGACCCCCACCAAAGGTCCGGTTACGTCTTGCTTCCAGTGCTGTTTTGAAAAGAGGAAGTTGGAAGGAATTGCAAAAACCGTGCTTTTCGGTGGGGTTCAGTGATCGAGGATGAGGAATTTGAACGATTTCAAATATTCAAATAATCCGGGAAAAATGAAATATGCAGGTTCGGCTGATTTCGCCATTTTGGACCACCAAAGAACCCTCCTAAAGATGGCAAAATAAGGCAGACGAATGATGATCAGGCAAACATAAGTTTATCGCCTTGTTGGCAACAACAATTCAAAAACAGGGAAAAGCAAGAAAATAGAAAATATTGGTAAGCCTATGATAAGAAGAGAGTCCAATAATAATCACAGGCAAAACAAGTTTTAAAGCAGCCAAGCTTTTGACGTTATATAGTGACATCGTCATGGCCTTGTTTGTATATACAAACGAACACTCTGGTTCCTCTTGGTATAAAGGTATGATCTTGAAGAAGAAAGCAAATTTAGTTGTTACTGCCAAATATCTACCTATTTTAAGGTCATCATCAGCGCAAAACAATCTTAAATACGTCTAGACGTTACCATATTTAAGTTTTTTTTACAGGCGATCTCAAATTTCATTGAAAACCGACTCAGTCCTACCTTTATCAAGGATTGCAACAGCATTCGACATTACATTGAATTAAATCAAGAATCAAAAACGGGAATTTTATTCAACCAAATTATATTACTACCCAGTTTTTAACAGTGCATGGAGAATTTAATAAATATTTATATAATATTACAAGTTAAAAAAACACCAATTTATGCCAATTTGGGGAAATAAAAAGTGCTGAACATATTGTGACGAAATGCGAATTTTATAACCATAAAAGAAGAATACTAGAAATGGAAATAAAAAAATAGATGATGAAAGTAAATTGGTAGAACTGACAAAGAACAAATACAATTATAAAGAGTTTATAAAGTATGTCTATGAAAAAAAAACTAAACACAGTTCACAAAATCAAAATGAAAATCATCGATAAAAAAAAATTCCCACAAGGGCTTTTAATTTTATGTATGTAAATGTACAAATTTAATTACTTTTAGTTTTAACTGTTTATTTGAACTGATTGTGTAAATTATGAATGAATATAGTTAAATTATTTATTTAAAATGGTAGTTAAAAAATAAAAGTATATGGTTTAATCATGTATTTAAACTGGTAGTATTAAGTAGTTAAGTTTGTTATTCATATGCTTTTATGATCACTATGTTAATTCCCTAGTCAATATAGTCATTTTATTAATAACTGTATATGTATATAATCGAATTATTTAAATGAAATGTCTTGTTTTTTATTTTATATATAGGTACATAGTTAAATTATATATTTGAGAAGTTATATTTAAAGTTATAAATGTATATAGTCCGTTAAGGTTATTTAAGCTAGCATGTTTTAGAAAATTAAGTTATTTATTTTGTTTTCATTATTTGCATGTTTATATGAGTATACAATTGAATTACTTATATGAAATATCTAGTCTAAGTAATAATGTATATATCTAAATAATTTATATGAAATGTTTGTTTAGATTTATAAAGGTATATAGTCTAACGTGTTTATTTAAGCTAGTAAGATCTATTTAACAATCTTTTTATTTAATTGTTTCATTGTGCTCATGTTTTTATTACTAGTCAAAAGAGTCTATTTATATTGTTTAAAAATGTTCTAGCCGCCAAAAATTCTCTTTAAAAATTGTTATAAAACCCCTCAGGAGCGGTTCATCCCGGAAACGTTATAATATAATTATAATTAAAACGGCTAATGATCTGTGTAAGGGGACCTGTTGTGGTTGAAAAAAAAATTATTAATTTAGAAATTTATTAAAACAAATAATGTGATAAATAAAAAAATTAAAAAAAATAAAAGCAAACGCTGTAAGAAGTTTACACCGAAAAACAGCAAAAACACAAATAACAAAATCAAAAAGTATTCGACAATACTGAGTCTGTCTTCAAGGAAATTTGAGATCGCCTGTAAAAACTTAAATATATAAATGTGTAGACATGTTTAAGATGGTTTTGTCATGATGATGACCTTGAAATAGGTCGAAAACTGGGCAGTAACAACTGAATTTTGTTTTTTTCTTCTAGACTTGATCCAGAGTGTTCATGAGTGAACAAATGATCGATATTTCTTATACTGTATATACAAATTTAGATTCATATGTACACGTCTAAAGCTTGACGAATCTTTAAAACTTTTATAGATTATGACATTTATTGGATCCTCTTCCTCTCATCTGTATACCGTGGGTCGACCTATCCAAAATTTTATACTGACAACCCATTACTCGTTACTGTGTTCTTGTTTCAAATTCATTAATTAATATTATGAAAATTTTATTAAATTGAGTGAAACTTCAGTTAGAACTACCTAACGTACCAATTGAGATCTGTAAGATATTTAAGAAAAAATATTTTGTTTCTATCTGTCGTACAAAACCAGCGATGATAGGCAAACCAAAAATGATCGTTAACTGGTAAAGTACAAGTTTAGTCCTTGTATAAATGGTAATTTTTTATAAATACAACTGCTGCTAAATAAAACATGATAAATATTGTAGTAACATGGTTATAAAAATACTTCTGGGTCTAAAGTTATCAACCGTTGATACGCCCGTTTTCAACAGTGGAGTTAAATTGACTTTTGTACAATATTTTATATATACTTTTCTAAACTTATAAAGGTTAGTGGTTGTTGTACCAGCGAGAGTAGACGGACCCAGTCAGTTCGACGCTAAGCGTGGTACTCAAAATATTTCAAAATATACTACCAGGCTAAATGTTTTTTAAAAGTACCTACGCAAGAGTAGTTTGCGTTATTGATCTTTTAAACAAGAATGTTAAATAAAATTAAATGGATATAAATTACTTTATTCAAATTACAGTATTGGAAATTCAGAAATTTTCTGTATAAATCCAAGAATTTCCAATTTTGGAATACTTTTTTATAATAAATTTTGTAAATATATCATGGTAAGTATAAAGGCCTAAAAGAATTGTGTATTCAAAGGGCGCCATACCGAGTCATCACAGTAAAGGTCCTCTTGAATTCAGGGCTGCTGAGATTCGAACCCTAGGAATTTTACAAATAAGCTTTTTTTTAAACAGGGGGTTGTTGAACTCTACTGCTGCGAATCGCCTTAAAATAAATTATGCACAGATCTATTCAGCCTGGAAATTGATATTTCCTTAAATTTAAATTTTGACCGTCGTCCCCTCAAGTATAAGACTGTTCGGAATGATACCTAGGGCTAGGAGAATAAACCGTTATTGGATAGGTCCCCCCCCCCCGAAAAACAACTAATAATCGACAAATTGTAAATTAACTTAGGAAAATCTTTCGATTCATGTCGTTATTTCAGTGTACTTCGATCGAAATGAAGCCGAACTGTATTCGGACGCCAAGTCAACATTTACAACCGGCCTGTGGTACACATTCAACGCGTTTCTTCAGGATTGGTTGCTTTAATAAAGTTCCTCGACTGTCCACCTGTAGGTAGTAAATTCCAATCTATTAGAAATTGGGTTTACACAGGTTTCAATTACTCCCAATAGACCACAAAGAAGGATGTATTTTCGGTAAGAGTTAGACGGGAATTTTGAACCAAAGAAAACGTGTAAATTATTTTTATGGCTTAATTTGTATCATTGTACTGTACAAACTTTGATCCCTTAGTTAATATGGCGTGAAACCGAAGCGCATGTAGCTGCAAAGTAACAACAAATCACCAAGAATAAACGGAATCAGAAAATACCAACAAAAACTACCCACTTTAAAGGTTAAGTTTGTCGTAGAAACTAGTTTTTGCCCAAATTTTAAGATGAACTGTTTAGCCTTGAATTATTATTAGTTATTTAAAAAGCACGGCACCTTTAATAAATAAATCGCCTCTATCACGATCAATCTAGAATTCTCCCTCTCTCCTAATCCCTAGGAATTATGAAGACTATCTGAAAGGGAATTGCAATTTCCTCTCGATTTTACTAAAAAATGGCCATAGAATGACGTAAATAATATACAAACGAATAGATCATTCTGCATCAATAATCGTAAATATGGACAAAATCGAAAATTTGGAAAAACGCGGAATTCTAATAGGAAATGAGGCATATACACTAACAGTTACAAACTCGGGATTCATGTCTCTCCAATGTGTAGTTATTTATAAGAACACAAATATTATCTGTCAAAAGCTATATTAAACTTTTTGTTCTTATGAGCGTGAATAAACGGAACGGCAATTTAAAATTGTAAATCTCGAGGGATTTTCCTACGGACATTCTACTTGGGAAGTTCCCATCAGATATTTAACAGGCTGACGAAAAATAAGGAAACGCTAGATTACTCCAGGGCCTTTCAAGACTAAATAGCTTAAGGGCTCGTACTGCGCACGCACCAAAATATAGGTTTTTTAAAATTAACTTCTTAGCAAGTGGAAATTAGCGGTTAGAGATAACCTCGCATACACGACTACTTATCGCATATCTATAAAAAAATATAAGGTAATATATTAGTGAAGCGTTAATTTCTGATGTTGTTGGTGCAAAAAGGAAGAAGAGGTAGTCATGGGATTCAGATGATTTCGAAAAATGTATGATGACAGAAAAAAGGTCAGGATCTGCAGAGATGTCGAAAAAAGTGTGATGACAGGAAAAAGGTCAAGATCTGCAGGGATGTCGAAAAAAGTGTGATGACAGGAAAAAGGTCAAGATCTGCAGGGATGTCGAAAAAAGTGTGATGACAGGAAAAAAAGACTGGATCTGCAGGGATGTCGCAAAAAGCGGGATGACGGGAAAAAGGTCAGTGATCTTCAGGTGTTATTCCCTCATCAACATTGTCGAATTAATCTTCGGAATCGTTGTAGCCGCCTGAGTTTTCGGCTGGTTGAAACTGAATCCC